CCAGAGTCATTTGCTTCTATCTGAGAAGAGGTAACCTGACATCAAGCACTATATTAGAATTTACTGTAACCTGAGTTTAGGAAGAGTTCAGGAAACTGATCTTTATCTACCCTTTCAACATAAACATTAAATAACTGGGGTCGTATGTTATATGTATCTTCTTGTATGTGTTTCTTCTTTTCTGATCAGTACAGGTATTGCTAATTCAATTTAGATAGATAGATAAGACTTTATTGATTCCGAAGGAAAATTGAGGTGTTACAGCAGTCCAGCCCAAGACAAGCAAAAACAGCCCAAGACAAGGAAAAACAGACATCAGAATAGACAAAAAATTAAAATATGTACATAAATACAAAATAAATATAAAATAAATACATAGGTGTGTGCAAAAAATGCTCATAGTCACTGTAAAACAATAAAATATGTGCAAAATGTGCATAGTTATATACAAGATTGAGTGTCCAAAAAGTACAATAGTGCAACATGCTGTCCATAGACGAGCAGATGAAGGGCTAGCAGTCTTAGCCTAAGAGAGTGTTATACACCCTGACAGCCCCCAGGAGGAAGGACCTGCGAAAACATTCCCTTGAACACCGTAGCTGGAGCAGTCTGTTGCTAAAAGTGCTCCGCTGCCTAAAAGCAGTCCCATGTAGTGGATGAGAGGCGTTGTTCATGATGGCTGTGAGCTTGGTCAGCATTCTCCTCTCAGCCACCACCTCCAGGGGGTTAAGGCTCAGACCCAACACAGAGCCAGCCTTCTTGATGAGTTTATTGAGCCTATTTACATCTCTTGTCATGATACTGCTGCCCTAGCACACAACAGCGTAGAAGATGGCCGCTGCCTTAACTGAGTCATAGAAAATGTGTAGCAGTGTTTCACATACACCAAAGGACCTGAGCCTCCTAAGAAAACAGAGTCGGCTCTGACCTTTTTTGTACACGGCGTCAGTGTTAACAGACCACTCCAACTATATCATCCAGGTGTAGCCCTAAGTACTTGTAGGACTGCACCACCTCTATGTCCTCACCCTGGATGGAAACAGGATTCAACAGAGACTTAAAGTATTCCTTTGAAAGTCCATGACCAATTCTTTACTCTTGCTGGTGTGGCACTGACCAGGATTCTTAAGTTGTGGTGTGAAAATTGCTAAGCCTTAATGGGATTGGGCAGATCTGAGTCAACCTCGGCTTGCTTAGAGTCCCCATGTCACTTGTCAGGCCTTTGTGAGCTTGTTTTAATGTCAGTGAGAGCTGTCTACTATAGGTGGTGTGGGGCTTGTAGTAGCAGATAGTTTCACAGTGCAATAGACAAGACATGAGCTGAGCTGTCAGACAAATGACCATTTTCTATTAGTGGTGTGTAAACTGAAAATTATACTTAGAAATGGAAACATTAATTATCAGAATGGAATAAATAGAAATGGAAGCTGTGCAGTAAAGTTATCACACATTTTGTACTTTAAATGCAACCACAATAAGGAAAATTGACTAACACTGAAGAGTAATGTGTCAGGACATCGGGAGAGAAATTTCATGTTTACCCATTACTCTTCTTTTATGAGATGTGATTTTGTTTTTTTTACATAAACATTCTTATTATGATAACAGTCTTTACCTACTTTTCAGTCAAGAAGGTAAAGCGAAACCCTTGATGTGGCATGCAGTTCATGATTTTGTTTAATGAAAACACTAGAGAGGGCTATTCTGAAATAATTTTTGATAACTGAAGAGCCCTTGAAATAAAATTAGCTTCATTGAGCTCAGAGTAGTTTTCAGTAAACTTTAAGGAGAAGGGTATTTGTTAATATCTTTGTGAAATACCAATGGTTTAAAAATGAAAAAATGCTATGACATTTACCTTAGCTAAAGGCATTTATTTTTTATGTAATTATGTAGGGATGTACAGTGCCTTGCGAAAGTATTCGGCCCCCTTGAACTTTTCAACCTTTTGCCACATTTCAGGCTTCAAACATAAAGATATAATTTTTTAATTTTATGTGAAGAATCACCAACAAGTGGGACACAATTGTGAAGTGGAACGAAATCTATTGGATTTTTGAAACTTTTTTAACTAATAAAAAAATGAAAAGTGGGGCGTGCAAAATTATTCGGCCCCTTTACTTTCAGTGCAGCAAACTCACTCCAGAAGTTCAGCGAGGATCTCTGAATGATCCAATGTTGTCCTAAATGACTGATGGTGATAAATAGAATCCACCTGTGTGTAATCAAGTCTCTGTATAAATGCACCTGCTCTGTGATAGTCTCAAGGTTCTGTTGAAAGCGCAGAGAGCATCATGAAGACCAAGGAACACACCAGGCAGGTCCGTAATACTGTTGTGGAGAAGTTTAAAGCCGGATTTGGATACAAAAAGATTTCCCAAGCTTCAAACATCCCAAGGAGCACTGTGCAAGCGATCATCTTGAAATGGAAGGAGTATCAGACCACTGCAAATCTACCAAGACCTGGCCGTCCCTCTAAACTTTCAGCTCAGACAAGGAGAAGACTGATCAGAGATGCAGCCAAGAGGCCCATGATCACTCTGGATGAACTGCAGAGAACTACAGCTGAGGTGGGAGAGTCTGTCCATAGGACAACAATCAGTCTTACACTGCACAGATCTGGCCTTTATGGAAGAGTGGCAAGAAGAAAGCCATTTCTCAAAGATATCCATAAAAAGTCTCGTCTAAAGTTTGCCACAAGCCACCTGGGAGACACCCCAAACATGTGGAAGAAGGTGCTCTGGTCAGATGAAACCAAAATCGAACTTTTTGGCCACAATGCAAAACGATATGTTTGGCGTAAAAGCAACACAGCTCATCACCCTCAACACACCATCCCCACTGTCAAACATGGTGGTGGCAGCATCATGGTTTGGGCCTGCTTTTCTTCAGCAGGGACAGGGAAGATGGTTAAAATTGAGGGGAAGATGGATGCAGCCAAATACAGGACCATTCTGGATGAAAACCTGTTGGAGTCTGCAAAAGACCTGAAACTGGGACGGAGATTTATCTTCCAACAAGACAATGATCCCAAACATACAGCAAAATCTACAAAGGAATGGTTCACAAATAAACGTATCCAGGTGTTTGAATGGCCAAGTCAAAGTCCAGACCTGAATCCAATTGAGAATCTGTGGAAAGAGCTGAAAACTGCTGTTCACAAACGCTCTCCATCCAACCTCACTGAGCTCGAGCTGTTTTGCAAGGAAGAATGGGCAAGAATTTCAGTCTCTCGATGTGCAAAACTGATAGAGACATACCCCAAGCGCCTTGCAGCTGTAATCGCAGCAAAAGGTGGCTCTACAAAGTATTAACGCAAGGGGGCCGAATAATTTTGCACGCCCCACTTTTCATTTTTTTATTAGTTAAAAAAGTTTCAAAAATCCAATAGATTTTGTTCCACTTCACAATTGTGTCCCACTTGTTGGTGATTCTTCACATAAAATAAAAAAATTATATCTTTATGTTTGAAGCCTGAAATGTGGCAAAAGGTTGAAAAGTTCAAGGGGGCCGAATACTTTCGCAAGGCACTGTAGATGCTAATTGCTGAATAAATAAAACAACTTACAGTCTTATTATCACACTGTAAGAAAAATTTGCTGTTTGCCTGATGCTAAATTATCTATAAACCCTTAATTTTAATGTAACCCTAAATTTTCATTGTAATGTTGAGACCTTTCAGGACTGATCTTTAAGGGCACTATTGTGAACCTCATAAATCTTGTAAAATCAAGCCCCTTCAATTTCCCAGTAGTGTGGGATGATTTCTTGGCATCTGTCAGAACTGCAGTCATTAGAAACATCTTTACTGTTGGTGGCCAGTCTTTGCATATCACTTGCTATAAGTTCAATTATCATTTGTGGGGTTTTCCCAACCAAAGATTCCTGATTAAATTATAGCATGTGCTCTGAAAAGGACAGTTCATTGAAGATGTAATGTTACGCTTTTTTGGTTTGCTACAGCTTGAACAATGTGTCTCACAATTTGGCTTTGACATTCTTTGACTTGCTTCATGTTGACATTTTCTTGTATTTTATTAACAAGCCCCATGTGCCATGTATTACTGTGCTGTAATCTTGCTGGCATGTAAAGCAAGACATCTAATCAAAAATACTGATGAGTGATGTGGGGAGAAACTCAGATCCTTGTTTTTGTCTGTAGGTGCAAAGCTCTACCACCAACAGCACCACTGTTTATATTATTCAGTCCATTTTCATCCATTTCCTTTGTTTAACTCTAGACAGAATCTTGAATAGACAGCTGCTACTAATGCAGAAACCAGCAACTGTGGCAATTCGTCAACCATGAACATCTTCATCTATCCCTGAACCTTCAGTGTCTTTTCTTTAGTTGTGGTTTCCTTACATAGAAAACTTTTATGCATTCCTTAAGCATCATGAGTTAAACTATATAGTCAAGTGCATGCAGTCAACCTATGTCTTAGAAATTTGTTTTATTTTGTTTAATATTTTTTTAATTTTAATTGACATCATCTATGAAATTATGTTACTTACGGTACGTATGTCGCATAACCACTTGCATAACAGTAATTTTGCATTTGTCCCACCAGAGTCTTATACAAATGTACATTTCCCATGGAAGCTGCTATTGAACTGATCATTTTCAAACACAGTTCTCAATGAGCACAGTTGTCTCTTTCAATGGGCTTGTCACTAAAATTCCTAACATTAACATCCTTAAACCTTTAATATACCACAAATGTTTTGCTTTGTTAATCCACTAGAGGATAAAGCAGTTGGAAGTCTTATACTGCATAAAAATAAAAGCATGTCTTGCATTGAGAAACACTGAGTAGTTTAAGGAGGATGCATGAACTGCACTTGGAAAGTAATTAATGAGGTGCAATAGCATGTAAGAGTAAGCTATCAAACAAAAAGGAGCCAAGACCAGTCTTTATCCCCTCTAGTGAGACAAACTTATTACTACGTGCATCTTTTGACCATGTGAGAAACTGGATTGTGTCTGCTTAATTTTTTAGAGACGGGACATGTCCAGTGTGTTAACCAGCATGTGTGGAGCAGACACTGGGTTCTGAGGGAGAAAGAGGAGGGGACATACAATACAAGAGATTGTAAAGAAGAAATTAAACATCAGGTATGGCAGACATGTTTAGCTGAAGTTGGATTAATATTATTCAGACAGCTTGAACAAAAATTGAATCACATAGTCTTCAAAAAGGGTGACATGGGAAATCCCAAGGAGAGGGAAAAGTAAAATAATTGTAACTTTTATGACAGCTGTTGAAAACAGTGTGTTGTTTCTAAATGCAGCCTATTCTTAAGCATTGAAAATCACAGAACACATGAAATACCCAAAGTTTAATTAAGCACAATATTATCACTTACCCCTGTATCAACAGTTAAATTTTGCCAGAAGGCTCATAACACTATAACACCAGGAAGTTTCAGCATTTTCCCTTCTTTCACATTTTGTAATATTTCTTTGTAGATTTCTGATTGTAATGTCAGCAATCTAAGCAGATCTAAAATACATTTGTAAAACTGTCTCTTATCACTACCTCATTTACTTACATTTGATTAGAAGAGTATTTTTTATGCCTACATTCTTTACATTCAATTCTTATTCAATTTTTTGCTTTCTTAGTACATTACATTCAGATAAGTGTGTTTGCTTTTTTGCCCTGTGGTTCTGTGGTTCCCACAGTTATAGCACATATTATTAGGTTTATGACTAAATGCTACAGCTAGAACTTAACTGAAACAGCAATGCGGGTTTGCAAAACCTGACCTAAATTCTATTAACAGCTGCAGAACAAAAGGCCACAATTGTGAGTCCAGTGGCATTTCAGGAGCTCTGACAGCAATGACTTTTATACTTTCTGGCAACTAGAAAGCAAAATAGTCTTGCGCGTTAATAGACACTTCAGCAGATTTTACCAGATTTTACCTAACAGTAATGTGTAGCATGCTACTTTGAAATAAGATACAGAATGTGCATTAACAACCTGCTGTTACTGGACAATGTTTTTATTAATTTTTTTCCTCATTGTTAGACACATACTGCAGTTAATGTGCTTCCATGTGATTCATGACATGGAATGGATTCATTTACAAAGTTTTGCTCTTTTTTAGGTGGGAGGGTGAGTGAAAGGTCAATGAGAACCACGCACCACCACAGACTCATCTTTTACAAGCTGCCTCCATTTCCTGAAAGCCTACTAAAAAGCCTTCTCTCTGATTCTAATTTGCTACTTTTATCATTTAGACATTCCATTTCTGGCAACGACGTAACTGTTGTACATTTCTGAGATGCAGAGCTGAATTAGCGAATACAATAGAACAACGACATTTAATTCTATGTCATTGCAGTTTGTGCCACTTTTTCTGTCTATGTACCATTAGCTTTGTTACTTCTTACTTTTTACGCAATCCTTCTTCACGTAACACTGTTGTAGATTTAAAAATTCCTCCACAGAATAATTGTTGCACACTGCAGATTAAAAAATAAAATGATAACATGAATCAATAGTTCTGTGGAAGCATTGTGTTTCTTTTAAGAATAAAATGATGGGAGGAAAAGCTTGAAATAAACCTGCAGCTTAGCCTCTGGGAAAAACAAATGGTTTAACTAATGAGATATTAGAAAAGATATCCCAAAAAGCTAGAAAAAAATCATCCGAAGAATAAGTATTGCCTTTAATTATGTCTAAATTAAATCTACATTTATAAAAAATGTAGATGAAAAACAATGACTAAAAGAAGAAATGGTTGATGGTTCTCCTCTTTCATAGTTTGGACAAACAGCAGGGATCTCATATAATGAAAACACAGAGGACTGTGATCTAGTTTTGGGGGAAAGGAATAAATGCTTTTCACTGCAGGTCATGGCTGGCCCAGAGATGAACTAAGTGATAATAATTGAGTTAAAAAGGTAAACAAATTGTGGCAGAGTTCACAAAGTGGAAGAAAGCAACTGATTTATTTAAAAAAATAAATGTCAGACCTAATCTATTGTATAGAATAAATATCATTTTGAAATGTTTTAACAGTTAATTTTAATTTAGGTCTGAACAACACAGCCAATTTGAGAAAAGCAATTTAAAACACATTATAACATGAAAATCATATAAGCTCAGTTTAACTGTAGACACAGAAACACATAGCCTACTTTAAAACATAACTATTGAAAACAACATGCATTTGTTTTGTTTTGTTCATTTTTATAACATGGATATACTCAAAGAACGAGGTCTAATTTTTGAAGGTCTGATTTCTGCAGTTAACTATAGTCAACTAACAAACAGAAAGTGAAAACAAATGTAGTTGGGAAAAGAACAGCATTTTAAGTTCAATTTGTCAAAAATCATGAAAAAATAATTTTGTCTTCAAGTAATATTGTTTTCAGAAATACAAGCATTTTGAAATATTGAACACATTGATACATCAGCTTGTTTAGGTATTATATAATTACAAGTTGGATGGACTGTTAGAAATACACACTGTATATTTAATACATATATATTTAATGTAATCGTTGCAACACTACATTCTATTAAATAAAATTAGATTTTGAACTGACAGCAGCAGTTGAAAACTTCTTCTGTTATACAAAACTGACAGATTCTACCAGGAGTGTCCCCAGGGGCAGCACACACACACAATAAAAACTCAGTGGCTACAAAAAGTTCAGAAGGCTTTATTTTCTGCCTTTTTAGGTCAAGACTGTTAGCAAAAAAAATATTCAAAAATGTACTTAGCTAATAGCACTATGCTTGAAAATTTGGGATTTTAACCCCTTTTCCAATAATTTCTTAATTCACCTTTTGTAATTACAAGTATTAGAGGCCACGTAGCAGCCTGTAATGGCATTTCAGCAGCAACTGCAACCATTCCCCCTCTAAGCTCTCATTGACAGGGAGAGCAGTAAACTGTCCCAGATTACAGCTGGAATTTAACTTTTTATTTCATTTACATTTCTGTACTGGTCAGTCAGTTTTAGAAGAATTTTAGAAAAACCTCAGTGGCAATACATGATAAGTCCAAAAGAACTTTCAGGCCAAGAATACATGCAAAAAATGCCCCTCAAGAACCACTAATATGCTTTCCTTTTAAACACCATACCAAAGATTTATTGCACCAATGTGGAATATTAACCCCTATGTAACCCAAACATTAACCTATAATTTCCAGAATCACCTCTAGTGTGGCTATTTACAAGTATTAGGAGTATTGCAGTGGCCTCTAGTGGCAGACTGTCTGCAATTACAAACCTATTTTACTAACTCTTTTGCTCTGCCTGCCTCTATGCATTGTGGCAACACAGATAATTCCAAACCATCAACAATGTCATGGATACATTGTCCAAAACAAAAGTAAATCAATCACTCAATCAATCAGTCTTTATTAGCTATAGCAGCCTTTGAAACACACAGAATTACACAGCAAATGACAATATTATACAAAAAATGTATGCAAATTGCCAAATTGCAGTATTTGTGGCAAATGTTTTTTTATTTTATCTCATGTGTATGTTACATATTTGAAACAATTTGTAGTAAGCTTGATTAGTAATTATATATTACTTATAAATAATTAAAAAAAGGTTATGTATATTATGTATATTTCTCTGTTGTAGATTGATATTTTATAAATGATAGATATGATAATACTTAAAAAATGCCTTCATTTGTATGAATATTGTTAGGTGGTAGACTTACAGTATGTAATAGTGAAATGCAGAACATAAATAAAGCATATGCCCATCATATGTCATTTAGCTTTGCACAGAAAACATGGGAAATGGCACTGCTGTGATTTCATTCAGATTGTTCCAAAATGGGTTGTTGGTGATGGGTCTGAAGCTCAAAAGAAAAGTAACTTTATCATAAAACATTGCTTCATCTAAACAAATAGACACAAATTATAATATATTATTTTAAGGGACATTTATTAGCATGAAATATTTTAAGTCAAATTTGGGGTACCTCAGGGATCAGTGCTGGGACCAGTATTGTTCTCTCTGTACAAGTTCCCGTTAGATAGAATAATGCGAAAGCATAATATTAACTTTCTATGCTGATGACATTAAAATATACATTTTATTTACACCTAACGACAACTCGTCAATTGTCACTTTAGCTAGTTTCATTAATGAAGTAAAGATTTGGATGTGCGGAAACATTTTGTCACTCAACTCTGATAAAACTGAGGTTTTGTTGTTTGGAGGCAACAGTGCAGACAGGATTACTACTGTATAAGCTCAGCACTCAACTCTGAGTGTTGAAAGGGAGCACCTATCGCACTTTCAACATCTTACAGTTAATTCAAAATGAAGCAGCTAGAATTGTTACCAGGAGTAGAAAGTACGACCACATAACACCTACTGTATATTTAGTTCTCTCCATTGGCTTCCTGATAGGTACAGGGCAGACTTTAAATATGTTTTACTTAATTATAAGGATATCAGAGGTCAGGCACCTGTATATTTAATGAAAATGTAATGTATACAATCCAACTCACCCACTTAGATCACAGAATGCAGGTCTTCTTCTTATTCCACATATTAATAAAAAAAACAGTTGGCGGTAAAGCCTTTAGCTACAGGGTCCTTAGTTTATGGAATAGTCTGCCAGCCTACATATGGGATGCGGAGTCAATCTCAGGATTTAAATCCAGACTGAAAACCTATTACTTCAACCTAGCCTATTCACACCTTAAATCATAGCTTGTTGCAACTACTGTATGGCTGCTGGTGCTACTGTACATGCCATTGTGTGTCTCTGTGTTGGCCTGTCAGGTAGATACATCTATTCTGACCAAATTATCCTATTCTCCTCCCACATGTCTGGATGGTGCCCAGGCTGGGCACCATCTGAGTGGGATGCTGCATCACTGCTATGGACATCACGAATACAGCTATCGTTTAGGAGGAATTGCTGGTCTACAGAGATCTGTATGGAGTACTGACATACAGAAGATGGAAGACTACTACTTTTTTTTCTCCTTACTGAGAGGTTTTTGGTTCCAATCCTCCATTGTCTTCTGGCTTTTTCTCTTTTTGGATTGTAACGACAGGTATTGGCTCACAGCCTTGCCTTGGGGCAATCTTGTTGTGAAAGGCGCTATATAAAAATAAATTGAATTGAATTTAAATAGGAAATTCATAAATAACACTGATAAAAAAAATTTAAGGAATGCAATGAGCAAAAAGTTTAAATTTGAGCCCCATCAAAGCACATACATGAAAGACTTTGTTTGACTTTAAGTAGCAAGAGTGTTAAATGAAGTATGACACCATCAATCTTGCAAGGATTAAATATTTATTTTGGGTTTTTTTTGTACAGGTGCTGTTGCTCCTGCCAGCATGTTATTTTTAACAATCTATATTCCTATGCTCATGCTACATGGTTACATTTCCAAAAATGTTTTGTCAAAACATAGGTTAGCTTTTTAAGTATGAATGTTCAAAGTCTTATAAAACTCTGTAGAGTTTTATACTTAAGAATGCAGATCTAAATATGAGATTGGTTGAGATCTGGCCATGTGAAGGCCTGGAATGTGTAAAAGGAGTTTAAGATCTGCCCTGTCAAGCCAGCCTGGTATTGTTCACACTGCACACACTGTAAGCCTCACAATCACTAAGCGAAGTTATCAGTGGAGGAGAGACATAAGTCTTGATGACAACATTGAAACCTCACAGGCTTCTAGCGAGCCACAGGGAGTCCCTGATGCATTGGAAGCTGAGGTTGCCCTGGCCAATACTGACACAGTCCAGACTCAGGCCCAGACCATAAGTGTAAACCTGTTGTCACAGTAAACTCATTTACTTGGTTGTTCCACCCTGGAGAAAATGCAAGTCGCTTAATACAAGATTGTCAACCAGGTGGACACTTACAGTCTCTCAATGGCATTATTTGCAAAACTGAATGTATTAAAGTCTAATCAAGAACAGGATGTTTTCTACAATTATATTGTGATGACTCATTTTTAAAATCATCTTCTAAAGGTTACCTGATTCAGAAGAGCAGTAATTGCAGTGAAAGCTTCTAAACTCTGATTCAATCTGAAACCACAGTAGAGCATGCATTCTTGTCATCTAATATGCTTCAGGTCTTAGAAGAAAAATATTTAAAAAATAAACAAATGAAATTGCATTTATCTATACCCCCATATGCAAAGAAACATTTTGATGTCTTCTTCTGATCTGATTATTTTACCAATATGCAATTTAACCTGTTAATTGCAAGATGGCAATGTTATACTGTCTGACTTCCCTGTTAATGGAGAAGTACACCCCTGCTGAAGAAGCTATGCCTTAATTTTCATTCTAATGCAATTTTCTAGTTTGGAAGCCAAATGTACAGAGGCTGAATTTTCAGCCTGCATCACCAACCAGATAAAAATATGGATTTCTCTCTAAGAAAAATGACAGACATGGACCTCCCAGGTAGTTCAACCAGTGTTCTCCTGAGCATACAGTAGTATGAGCTCAGCAATTACAATTTTGAACAGCACATAAATGGCAGAGG